GTTATGTCTAGAAGTTACAATAAAGTAGCACAATATGCCGTATCTTTTCTCCGACCAAGACACTCTCAGAACAAAGTGGAGAACTTACCAAAACCAAGGTGTACTAAAGTGGTAAGCAAAAGGGTGTGGACTCAGCTTCAAGACAGAACAACAGGTCAGTGGCACAGACAGAGACGCACACACACAGAGCAAGCGAGAGAGAGGCTGAGAGGAAGGAAGGGACCTCAAGAACGAGAGTACAAGACAAGTGACAGGACCTGACACCCCATCAGCTGGGCCGTCCTCTATGTTGTTCAGAAGCCAGTTACTGAGCACTCAGAGGACACACAAGGATGTTCCCACCAGGAGGCTGGACTCCCTCGAAGCCACTGTGAAGGCCCCTAACGCTTGGGCCCACATGAGGCACTTGTCCGAGGCTAAGTTTAACAAGAGACCACGGTGAGGTTGTAGGCCAGTGAGTGACCATATCGGAATTTCCTGTCATTTCCAACCCTTAAAGGTACAGACTTGAAAATGAGGCCCACATGAGCAGTGACTTCCCTGAGATCACGGGCTGGGCCCAGGGCGCTTTTGTCTAGTGTCTCATGCTGTGTCCCACTCCTTCTTGTCATCTTCCACCTCTATGTTTGTGGACCAGATTCATGGGACACCAGCCCACAGCTGTTCGGGGCCTTGTCCCATCTGCACCTGATGACTTCCTATGGAAATGGTGTCTAGCATCATCCTCACAGGGCAGTTTGGGAGCCTGGGGGAGGCCCTGAGAGGCACAGAGGCTTCCCCCAGGGCACAGAACACGTAAGAAAAAGGAGGTGTGAACTCGGCTTTCTCCCCCAAACCGGCGACACAGGGCATGGCACAGCTCTAAGCTGGGCTGGGAGAGTGTGCTGCCAATGAGCATCTCAAAGTGTGACCACAGAAATGGGGTGAGGGAGAGACAAGACTGCCAAAGAAGCTAAGGTCAGATCATGGAGGGCCTGGACGGACACACTAAGGATTTGGGACTCATTTCTTGTTCTTCCCAGGGCGCTCGGGGGGAGGGCTGTGTTGGATGCTTGTATACAGGTATGGAGATAACATGGGCCAGAAGGTGAGAGGTCAGCAGCCCTGAGGAGCCTTCCGGTGGCTCTGATTGGAGGAAGGGGCACAGCTCATGGAACCTTGAAGGGGTGACCTCACTTCCCTGGGGACAGATCCCCAACAGAAATGGGCACCGTGGTAACCAGGTACCCACATTCTAGACACAACTGCCTTTCCAGGTCACTTGAGTGGAGAAGGTCAGGAGACCAGGATGTGTCTCTTTTGCTTCCCGTGCTTCCGACGCCCTGGGCAGAAGAAAGCCCAGGGTGAGAGATGTTTCTCTTGCTGCAGAAACAGGCGCAAGCGCCACCACCGATACCCCTCGCCCTCTGGCACGAGGCACACACAGGTAACCGAGGCCAGGCCGTATCAGGTCAAACTTGGGCGCCAACTGGGGCCCACACCTCTTACCACTCATCCCATTGGGGTGTGAGTGTGTGAGTGTGTGTGGGGGGGTGTATGTGTGTGTGTGTGTGTCCCCAGAATGGTGAGGGGAAGATAGCGGGGGATGAGGGATGCTCATCCCGGGCTCAGGAGCGGGTTGGTAAGTGTCAGAAGCCTGGAGGGTGTAGGAGGGTGTGTCATGTTCACTGCCCAGGTCATGGCTCACAGGAAGGGAAGCTGAGTGCTGGGGTCGGAGCTCCGCTACCCACTTGTGAATGGCAGGGGTGCTCAAGCGGTCATCAACTTCACTCCCTGCCTGGAGGTCTTTGCAGATGCCCCTCTCTGCCTGATCTGGGGAGCAGAGTGGGTGATGGGCATCTTCCCCACTGTAATGCCCGGGCCCCTGATGCTTCCTGGCCTGGTATCGGGCTGTGTCTTTGCAGAGCTCCAACGAGGGCAGCGTAGAGGAGCTGGCTGACAGGTTCACTTATGCCCTCAACGGGTACAAAGGACAAGTGCGTCAGGACAGGGAAACCGTCCAGTGCCAAACTGAGGTGAGAGCTGGCCCACACCCAGGACCCTGAGGTGACTGGGGTGGGACCAGAAGTCAGGCTCAAATCTGGGGCCTCAAAGTTCTCACAGGCCCACTCCCAAAGTGATCTGTACCTTCAATCCTCCTGACCAGGTCCCTTGTAGGGGAGAAAAGCAGTCTTTCTTCAAGTGCTTGTTGGGATCAGAGAGGAAGCATTTGTTGCTGTCTTTGCCTCATGCTCCTTTCAACTGATGAACTCCCTTCCCCAAGTATCCTGTGGACCAGCCCCAGCCCGACTGTCCTTGTAGACCTTCTCCAAGCCTTACACATCATCCAACTGGAGAATGCTAAAAAAAAGAAAGAAAAAAAGAAAGAGGGGGGAGGGGAGAAGCGGGAGCGGGGGGGGTTAGGGGCGTAGGAAAGGATTAAGGTGTGGAATACTATTCTGTGCAACCTATCACCTCAGACAGAGGACGACAAACCATTGCAGGGCAGCCAGGTCAGGAGCTCTGGCCTTACCCAACTCCATATCATCCCAACAAGCTCAGATTTTGCATCAGTGATTCAGGCTTTCCCTGTGGCTACACCTTGACACAAATCAATTCTTGCTAGCTCAGCAGGGTTGCCAGGAACATCCTCACTGTGTCCTCATAGACTACGTCTGCCATGACACAGGACCACAGATTGGGTGGAAGGTTCCTGATGCCTCCTGGCTCAGTACCCACTCTGTCTTAGCAGAGCTCCAAGGAGGACATCATTGAGGTGCTGGCCCATGGACCCAACTACACCACCTACGGGGTCAGGGTGCAGGTGCACCAGGCTGAAGACACAGACCAGTGCCTGTCTGAGGTGAGTGCTGGCCTTGAGGGTCTCTACACCCATAACCCAACACCACCTGGCATTGCCCGCAACCCACACTCAAATCTGGGGACTCCCCGGGCACCCTCCCAGGACTCTCCATAGTGTCCCACAGCCCCAAGAAAAAGAAATGCGGATCCCCACGCCCCCCTCCAGCTACAGGGGACGGTAGAGAGACGCTCCTCACATATTTGTAGAAATATCTGAGACAGAAATGTTGTCTGACTTCACAGTGGACCATGAGCACTCCGGCCTTTCGCTGTTTGTGTTGCTTAACCTACACTTGCCACGTATCCTCTGGAGCACTCAGCTCCACTGTCCTTGCAGACCTGGTCCAATCGGGGAGGTCGTTTGCCCAGCGATGCAGCCTTTCAGTGGCGTTGGACATGGGCCTAATGCAGTTCAGCTGCCATGTCAGCAGTGCTGCCCAGAACACTGATGTGTGTCGGAATGGACTGTTAGGTTGCTTGCTTGGGCTGCCATAACATAGGACCACACTGGGTGGTGTTCACAGCAGACATTCATTTTCTCACAATTCCGGAGCTAGAAGTGAGAGGTGGTGCTGTCAGCGGGGCTGGTATCTCCTGAGGGCGTTGCTCCTCAGCTTGTAGATGGCTGTCTTCTCTCTGTGTGTCACATGGACTCCCCTCTGCACTGCCACGTGCCCTCCCCTCCTCTTCTAAGGACACTGTTCAGATTAGATGAAGACCCACACCACTAAATTCACGTCACCCGAATGACTTGCTTGAAGACTAAAACTCAAATGCAGACACATGATCAAGTTCTAGGGGTTGCAAAGTCATGGGATTAGGGGTACACGAGTCAGAGCACAGCACATGTAATGTCCCCGGCTGGCTGATGGACGCCCACTGCTGGTGGAAGGACGAGCACATGTACAATTTGAACGGCTGCAGGCAGATTCCAAACCCAAAGGCTGTGGCAGGGACGTTGCCAACAGCAGTTTCTGATGATGGCTGCTGCCTTGCTCCCAGCCTGGCCCGGGAAATCTCACTCATTGAAATTTCACCTGGCCGACGTCAAGTTGTCCAACTCAAACACAGTGTTCCTTCCCTGGCAATGGCCTCAGGGGGACAGTGAGGCACCTGTCACTTTTCACCCACCACATGGATTAGCTCCTCCTCCCCGAGTCCTCTGGTCAGATTCCTGCCCCGTGATCGCCTTTCTCCCATCTGCAGTCTCCAGGCATTTGCCACCTTGCGGAATCTGCGATCTCCATAATGAGGGTCTTAAAATGCCCTTTCCTGTAAAAGGATAAAACATAACTTTCTCTTTTGAAGTCAAAGGCATTCATAGGCCATATCTACCCTGTACACTGTTTCCACGCTGGGGAACGACAAGGTTCCCACACCCTTTCCCCCCATGTCAGTAGCAGGTAAGTCTCGGGTACCTACAGGGAATGTCATGCAGGACAGTTCCCAGTTCTGACCTGCATGCCCTTGAGCAGACATTTGATATTTCCTAAGCCTCTGTGTCCTCATCTGTATAACGAGGACGTTTCTTGAGGACTCACAGGGCCCGGGCTCTTCATTTAAACTATTCCTACAAGGAGGTTTGTTGATCCTCAGCTAAAGGGAAGGGGGGAAGGAAAAAACATGCCGAGAAGGTGTCAATTGTATGAACATGCACGGAACTGCAGTGGCACTTTGAAGACCGAGAACCCGGTCCAGCGGGGCACTCCTGACCCGCCACTTGCACACGTCCTAGTGGGGCTGGGACCTCCTGAGCGAGCTCCAATCCTCCATCCTTGTGGGATTCACGGTCATGCCGCTGACATGGATGTCCTTCCTTCTCCCACCCAGTGTGTAGCTGAGCAAACTGGTAACCTGCATGAGTCCTGCAGGATGCGGGCCCTCCAGGAAGGCACCTCGGAGAAGGTGGCCATGGCCATGGTACCAGCTTTCCCGGGGGGAATCGTCCCCCATGTCTCCACGCTGGCCCTCTCCAGAGCCCAACGGTTCCTGGACGAGCTTCTAACTAGGTGAGCACACATTGTGACTCTGCCCACTGCTAGCTCTGAGGCTGAAACGTCACCACATCTTCCCGAGTCTCAGGATGCTCCTCTGAAATGTGGGCTGCTGGGTGGTCAACCTCATAGCACTGCTATGGGGACAAGCCATGGCAGGTCTCACCTGCTCCCTGGCTCTGCAGACAGGGTAGCTGGACGTGCGGCGGTTGTTGGTGGCAATTCTTTCACTCTGTCCCACGGAAAGAACTCTGACACACCCATCAGTGGCCTGTGGCATCGGAGGGTGGAAAAGCACATGGAAAGCAACCTGTTAAGCAGTGTGAGATGTCACCTAGCCGGTCCTGGTCCTTGGTGTAGCCACACTGGGGATTTCTGGGGAGAGCAGGGGCCCAGGCCCACTCAGATGTATGGCATGCTTCTGGTTGGAGTTTCTTTACTCGACAATGTGCATGCACTTTTGGAGCCACTTAGCCTGACTCGAGGAATGAAGCAGACACAATCCCTGGGCCACAGTTCTGGGCAATGGGTCCAGCAGTCACGCTGTCCATCATTCGCAGGTCGTGTCCACCATCCATCAGGGCTGATGCCATCAGAGCGTTTTCTCCATCTGGAGGCACCCCTCCTTACAATGACCGGGGTGACACAGCGCAAGACCAAGTCATAAAGTGAGTGGTCTCCGGGTCCGGAAAGAGGGCCCCCAGAGTCAGCATAGTGGGTACTCTGTTTGTGGGGGGAGGGTGCCTGGCAGAACCCTAATCTTACACATCATCTGATTCCCAAGAAAGGCCTGAGCTCTGGAGTCTTCTATTCCAGGGGACAGGAGTCAAAGACGACAGTGGGTGGGGTCCCGGGCCTTGTAGACCCAGAGGGACGCTGGGCTGAGTTGTCCCTCAGAGTCCCCTCCCCCCCAGAGACCCACCCCGCGCTGCCTGCCCCTCTCCATATCCATCTCCCCTGACCACCGTGGCCTTGCTCAGAATAGGACTGTGGTGAGCAGGCTGCTCACAAGTCTGTCTCAGTCCTCAGCCCAGATGCCCAGGGCCTGGAGGGTGGGGCTGGGCAGTGCACTGGACCTTCAGGAGAGCCGCCAGTGGGAAGAAGAGTCTCACACAGACTCCGTGTTGAACCTGCTGGATATGGGTCCCACACCTGCTACAACCAGGACAGCCACACAGGGGCCGGGGGTGGCATGGGGCTGTGCCCTGGGTGGGCAATGGGGGCCTGCACAGAGGCTCCGATCTAAGCAATTGTGCCATGGGAGGGCAGAGTGGAAGGAAAGACCAGGACTCAGACTCTGCTGCCCACCTGCCTCTCCCCAGGGCCTTTGCTGCGATGGTGGGGACCTGGCTGGACTTTGGGACAGCCCCTTCCTATCGCCTGTTTCGAGGCAGAGCAGGCCTTGGTGCCCGTCAACTCCCCTGCCTCACACCTGGTGGGCCACGCCCAACGCCCAAAGTCAATGGTTGCATCTGGAGCCCAACGAGGCAACTCCACAAGGTGAGGGGCACAGATCATCTGGGCAGATCATCTGGGGAGGGCAGGCTCACGGGCTGGAGCTCCCTTAAAGGCGGTGGGCCTCTTGCCTGTCTGCGCAAAGTCACAGAAAAGCCAGGTGTGTGAGTCAATCTGTCTCTCTCTCCTGCTCCAGGTCCACACCCTGAGCTCCAGAGCTCTCCCGAGACAGAGAAAGGGCCCGCTCAGGGGCCAGAGCCTGGTCCAAGGACAGGCCCTGCCCTGGCCTGGCCTCGCCCGAGGCAGTACCTGAAGCCATTATGGAGCCACCTACTGGCTGTGCTGGAAGCCTTCTCTCTTGCTGTCAGAAGAGTTCTAGGCGATTATCTTAAATAATTCAGAGGAATACATCCCATTTATGTAGACTATTTCCCGTTAAGTTAAATACTCTAAAAGTACCTACCTATTTATGTAGACTATTTCCCGTTGGATACCATGTCTACTCTTAAAAAATTGCTGATTTAAAACACACACACACACACACACACACACACACACACACACACACACACACACACACACACACACACGCACACACATGGAAGGATGCTACACATATGTACCCATATATGCCGACATGGAAGGATGTTAATCTTTTCTGATTACTATGTATACACTGATAAAATGGGGAAATAAAATCTGGATAAATATACACCAAAATGTTAACACTACTGAACTGTCAGAAGTGAAACTACTAGAAGTGACAGTTTCTTCTCATTTTGCTTTATGTATAGGTTCTGGTTGACACAAGGATCATACCTCCAATAGACAGATAGACAGTAGAGAGAGGAAGGGAGAGGCAGAGAAACATAGAGGAGAGGCGCATCAGCCGCCTCCTGCCCACCCCCGACATGGAAATAACCGCAGAACCCTGCCATGTGCCCACCCTGGGAACTGATCCGGAAACCTTTCAGTGCAAGGGGAGATGGCCCATCTAATGAGCCACATCAGCCGGGGCTAGACTCAATCTATATTTTAAAAATGCACTTTTTTGACTTCAGGGAGTTAGAAAGGGCGAGACAGAAACGTAAACGATGAGACAGAAGCATTGATCGGTTGCCTCCTTCACGACCCCTATTGGTGATCCAGTCTGCAACCCGGGCCTGTGCCCTGACCCGGAATCAAACCAACTGTGCACTCCTACCCGGTTCGACCACTGGGCGACACTGGCCAGACTCAATCAAATCTTTCGAAACTTTCCCAAGTGCCAATTTGTATCTTGCAATGGTGTCATGAAAGGAAAATTGACTTGATGGGGGGCATCCTACTTCCATCCTTGTTTAGCTGGATTTGCTATTTGGCCAGAAACAACCACTACACTAGGTCTTAACCGTATTTAAAATCACTAGGAAGCGCAAGACCATTGCTTTGGTTGCAACAGGAGTAACTCAACACAACTCCCTCCACTAAACACTTCCTTAATCATTTCCCTGCCTCCATGAGCCCAGAATTTAACTCACCAGTCAAACTCAGCTTAGGAAGAGGCAATGGTTCCACTGGAACAGGACGGTATGGAAACAAGGTACACAGCCCTGGTTCTACCGGAAGGGCCATAGTTCACTGACACCACCACTGCAACAATCTATAATTAAATGAAAACCATCATGTCAGAAAATTCTAAGCAGAAAAGGACAAAGGAATGCCACTGGTGAGTATTGCAAAAGGAGGCACGCTGTGCAAGACGGATCCATTCAGTGCGGTGGCCCAACCATCCAAAGCTCATCGTTCTCATGAGAACACTCTTGCACTGAGGGGAGACACATTTCCTTTCTTTCATTTCATATTTGCTTTCAAGGCAAACCAGCTGGTCAATACACCAAAACAACACTCCTCAGGTATCCAACAAGAGACACCTAAATGTCTCCCTGAATTTTAAGTCTTACTAAATTTGAATTAATAAAAGTTTCATTTTAAAGTGATATGTGGCTGCCGGGCTGGCATGGCTCAGTGCTGGAGCGTCGACCCCAGAACCAAGGGATCCCCGTTTCATTCCCAGTCACGGCCCGTACCGGAGGTGCGCTAGGGGCTATGTGACCGATTATGCTCTCTCATCATTGATGTTTCTCTCTCCCCTTCCCCAGCCTCCTCACCTCCCCTTCACTCCCCAACCCCCGATTCTCTCTGCTCCCTTTCCCTTCCTATCTCTGAGATCAATAAAAGATATATACCTAAAAAGATATATGTGGATAATATAGACCCTATGAGACAGGGAATTTCAAGACACCAGGAAGCTGTTGTGAAACTGTCATCCCTGAATCTCGGGTCACCTTTCCTCCACAAGTCCACACAGAAGAAATGTACGGGGCCATTAGTGATCCCAGTAGAAACAGGAAGCTCACCATCAGACACATCCCCACTGCCCTTCCCCCTCACCACCTCCTCCTGGGCTGAGGCACCTCCTTCAGGACCAGTTGGACTTGAAACTGCCCAATGTCAATTGCAATTCGGCCTGTTCTGCCCAAGGGTTCACGCAAGAGTCTCATAGTTGATTTCTGAGACACTCTTTCCTCCCTGATATAAAGCACAAGAGCGAAGAGAGGATTTTTTTCCTCTCGACATCATTGAGCACCTGAATTCAATATTGGATCCACCTACCTGTGGATCCACCTACCTGTGCACAAAGACAAATCCCTACTGTTAGCTTCATCACTATTCCTATGATTCTCAGCTTCCATTCCACACTGAATGAGATCCTTAACACTCCCGAGGGTGTTGTAGCATTGCATGGTACTGGAAACAACAACTGGAAACAACAACAACAACAAAAACGAAAACAAAAACAATAAACTATGGGAGCAGAGAGCAGGACGGGGAAAGAGGGGAGGTGCCTGAAAGAACACCAGACTTCCGCCCACTCCAGAGGGAGAGGTTGGGACACAGGGCATTCACAGCTCTAAGCTGGGCTGGGAGAGTGTGATGCCAATCAGGATCTCCAAGTGTGACCACAGAAAAGGGGTGAGGGAGAGACAAGACTGCAAAAGAAGCTAAGGTCAGATCATGGAGGGCCTGGAAGGACACGCTAAGGATTAGGGACTCATTTCTAAAGGCCATCGGAGACCACTGTTAGTTTTCATAAGAGACAGGATTATATTTACATTTACAAAAGATCCTTCGGGCTGCTGGCAGAGAATGCTTAGGGACCCAGCGATACAGGAGGTTGACAGGTCACAGAGAACACCTGGTATCCGGGGGCCCTGAAGTCAATGTGGCTTAGTACTCTTGGTGCTAACCTTGATGGCTTCACACTAGAATCGTTGTATCAGGATGTCAAGGTTGAAATCTATCCCACTCATGGGACTTGACAGGTTATGTCTAGAAGTTACAATAAAGTAGCACAATATGCCGTATCTTTTCTCCGACCAAGACACTCTCAGAACAAAGTGGAGAACTTACCAAAACCAAGGTGTACTAAAGTGGTAAGCAAAAGGGTGTGGACTCAGCTTCAAGACAGAACAACAGGTCAGTGGCACAGACAGACGCACACACACAGAGAAAGCGAGAGAGAGGCTGAGAGGAAGGAAGGGACCTCAAGAACGAGAGTACAAGACAAGTGACAGGACCTGACACCCCATCAGCTGGGCCGTCCTCTATGTTGTTCAGAAGCCAGTTACTGAGCACTCAGAGGACACACAAGGATGTTCCCACCAGGAGGCTGGACTCCCTCGAAGCCACTGTGAAGGCCCCTAACGCTTGGGCCCACATGAGGCACTTGTCCGAGGCTAAGTTTAACAAGAGACCACGGTGAGGTTGTAGGCCAGTGAGTGACCATATCGGAATTTCCTGTCATTTTCACCGCTTAAAGGTACAGACTTGAAAATGAGGCCCACATGAGCAGTGACTTCCCTGAGATCACGGGCTGGGCCCAGGGCGCTTTTGTCTAGTGTCTCATGCTGTGTCCCACTCCTTCTTGTCATCTTCCACCTCTATGTTTGTGTACCAGATTCATGGGACACCAGCCCACAGCTGTTTGGGGCCTTGTCCCATCTGCACCTGATGACTTCCTATGGAAATGGTGTCTAGCATCATCCTCACAGGGCAGTTTGGGAGCCTGGGGGAGGCCCTGAGAGGCACAGAGCCTTCCCCCAGGGCACAGAACACCTAAGAAAAAGGAGGTGTGAACTCGGCTTTCTCCCCCAAACCGGCGACACAGGGCATGGCACAGCTCTAAGCTGGGCTGGGAGAGTGTGATGCCAATGAGCATCTCAAAGTGTGACCACAGAAATGGGGTGAGGGAGAGACAAGACTGCCAAAGAAGCTAAGGTCAGATGATGGAGGGCCTGGACGGAAACGCTAAGGATTTGGGACTCATTTCTCGTTCTTCCCAGGGAGCTCGGGGGGAGGGCTGTGTTGAATGCTTGTATACAGGTATGGAGATAACATGGGCCAGAAGGTGAGAGGTCAGCAGCCCTGAGGGCCTTCCGGTGGCTCTGATTGGAGGAAGGGGCACAGCTCATGGAACCTTGAAGGGGTGACCTCACTTCCCTGGGGACAGATCCCCAACAGAAATGGGCACCGTGGTAACCAGGTACCCACATTCTAGACACAACTGCCTTTCCAGGTCACTTGAGTGGAGAAGGTCAGGAGACCAGGATGTGTCTCTTGCTTCCCGTGCTTCCGACGCCCTGGGCAGAAGAAGCCCAGGGTGAGAGATGTTTCTCTTGCTGCAGAAACAGGCGCAAGCGCCACCACAGATACCCCTCGCCCTCTGGCACGAGGCACACACAGGTAACCGAGGCCAGGCCGTATCAGGTCAAACTTGGGCGCCAACTGGGGGTCACACCAGGGGTTAGCCCCACACCTCCCACTCATCCCATTGGGGTGTGAGTGTGTGTGTGTGTGTGTGTGTGTCCCCAGAATGGTGAGGGGAAGATAGCGGGGGATGAGGGATGCTCATCCCGGGCTCAGGAGCGGGTTGGTAAGTGTCAGAAGCCTGGAGGGTGTAGGAGGGTGTGTCATGTTCACTGCCCAGGTCATGGCTCACAGGAAGGGAAGCTGAGTGCTGGGGTCGGAGCTCCACTACCCACTTGTGAATGGCAGGGGTGCTCAAGCGGTCATCAACTTCACTCCCTGCCTGGAGGTCTTTGCAGATGCCCCTCTCTGCCTGATCTGGGGAGCAGAGTGGGTGATGGGCATCTTCCCCACTGTAATGCCCGGGCCCCTGATGCTTCCTGGCCTGGTATCGGGCTGTGTCTTTGCAGAGCTCCAACGAGGGCAGCGTAGAGGAGCTGGCTGACAGGTTCACTTATGCCCTCAACGGGTACAAAGGACAAGTGCGTCAGGACAGGGAAACCGTCCAGTGCCAAACTGAGGTGAGAGCTGGCCCACACCCAGGACCCTGAGGTGACTGGGGTGGGACCAGAAGTCAGGCTCAAATCTGGGGCCTCAAAGTTCTCACAGGCCCACTCCCAAAGTGATCTGTACCTTCAATCCTCCTGACCAGGTCCCTTGTAGGGGAGAAATGCAGACTTTCTTCAAGTGCTTGTTGGGATCAGAGAGGAAGCATTTGATGCTGTCTTTGCCTCATGCTCCTTTCAACTGAGGAACTCCCTTCCCCAAGTATCCTGTGGACCAGCCCCAGCCCAACTGTCCTTGTAGACCTTCTCCAAGCCTTACACATCATCCCACTTGAGAGTGCTGTGTATTTAAAAAAAATAAAAGAAAGAGGGGGAAGAGGAAGGGTGGGGGTTAGGAAGGTATTAAGGTGTGGAATACTTTTCTGTGCAACCTATCACCTCAGACAGAGGATGACAAACCATTGCAGGGCAGCCAGGTCAGGAGCTCTGGCCTTACCCAACTCCATATCATCCCAACAAGGACAGATTTTGCATCAGTGATTCAGGCTTTCCCTGTGGCTACACCTTGACACAAATCAATTCTTGCTAGCTCAGCAGGGCTGCCAGGAACATCCTCACTGTGTCCTCATAGACTACGTCTGCCATGACACAGGACCACAGATTGGGTGGAAGGTTCCTGATGCCTCCTGGCTCAGTACCCACTCTGTCTTAGCAGAGCTCCAAGGAGGACATCATTGAGGTGCTGGCCCATGGACCCAACTACACCACCTACGGCGTCAGGGTGCAGGTGCACCAGGCTGAAGACACAGACCAGTGCCTGTCTGAGGTGAGTGCTGGCCTTGAGGGTCTCTACACCCATAAGCCCAACACCACCTGGCATTGCCCGCAACCCACACTCAAATCTGGGGACTCCCCGGGCACCCTCCCAGGACTCTCCATAGTGTCCCACAGCCCCAAGAAAAAGAAATGCGGATCCCCACGCCCCCCTCCAGCTACAGGGGACGGTAGAGAGACGCTGCTCACATATTTGTAGAAATATCAGAGATAGAAATGTTGTCTGACTTCACAGTGGACCATGAGCACTCCGGCCTTTCGCTGTTTGTGTTGCTTAACCTACACTTGCCACGTATCCTCTGGAGCACTCAGCTCCACTGTCCTTGCAGACCTGGTCCAATCGGGGAGGTCTTTGCCCAGCGATGCAGCCTTTCAGTGGCGTTGGACATGGGCCTAATGCAGTTCAGCTGCCATGTCAGCAGTGCTGCCCAGAACACTGATGTGTGTCGGAATGGACTGTGTTAGGTTGCTTGCTTGGGCTGCCATAACATAGGACCACACTGGGTGGTGTTCACAGCAGACATTCATTTTCTCACAATTCCGGAGGCTAGAAGTGAGAGGTGGTGCTGTCAGCGGGGCTGGTATCTCCTGAGGGCGTTGCTCCTCAGCTTGTAGATGGCTGTCTTCTCTCTGTGTGTCACATGGACTCCCCTCTGCACTGCCACGTGCCCTCCCCTCCTCTTCTAAGGACACTGTTCAGATTAGATGAAGACCCACACCACTAAATTCACGTCACCCGAATGACTTGCTTGAAGACTAAAACTCAAATGCAGACACATGATCAAGTTCTAGGGGTTGCAAAGTCATGGGATTAGGGGTACACGAGTCAGAGCACAGTACATGGAATGTCCCCGGCTGGCTGATGGACGCCCACTGCTGGTGGAAGGACGAGCACATGTACAATTTGAACGGCTGCAGGCAGATTCCAAACCCAAAGGGCTGTGGCAGGGACGTTGCCAACAGCAGTTTCTGATGATGGCTGCTGCCTTGCTCCCAGCCTGGCCCGGGAAATCTCACTCATTGAAATTTTCACCTGGCCGACGTCAAGTTGTCCAACTCAAACACAGTGTTCCTTCCCTGGCAATGGCCTCAGGGGGACACTGAGGCACCTGTCACTTTTCACCCACCACATGGATTAGCTCCTCCTCCCCGAGTCCTCTGGTCAGATTCCTGCCCCGTGATCGCCTTTCTCCCATCTGCAGTCTCCAGGCATTTGCCACCTTGCGGAATCTGCGATCTCCATAATGAGGGTCTTAAAATGCCCTTTCCTGTAAAAGGATAAAACATAACTTTCTCTTTGAAGTCAAAGGCATTCATAGGCCATATCTACCCTGTACACTGTTTCCACGCTGGGGAACGACAAGGTTCCCACACCCTTTCCACCCATGTCAGTAGCAGGTAAGTCTCGGGTACCTGACAGGGAATGTCATGCAGGACACTTCCCAGTTCTGACCTGCATGCCCTTGAGCAGACATTTGATATTTCCTAAGCCTCTGTGTCCTCATCTGTATAACGAGGACGTTTCTTGAGGACTCACAGGGCCCGGGCTCTTCATTTAAACTATTCCTGCAAGGAGGTTTGTTGATCCTCAGCTAAAGGGAAGGGGGGAAGGAAAAAACATGCCGAGAAGGTGTCAATTGTATGAACATGCACGGAACTGCAGTGGCACTTTGAAGACCGAGAACCCTGTCCAGCCGGGCACTCCTGACCCGCCACTTGCACACGTCCTAGTGGGGCTGGGACCTCCCGAGCGAGCTCCAATCCTCCATCCTTGTGGGATTCACGGTCATGCCGCTGACATGGATGTCCTTCCTTCTCCCACCCAGTGTGTAGCTGAGCAAACTGGTAACCTGCATGAGTCCTGCAGGATGCGGGCCCTCCAGGAAGGCACCTCGGAGAAGGTGGCCATGGCCATGGTACCAGCTTTCCCGGGGGGAATCGTCCCCCATGTCTCCACGCTGGCCCTCTCCAGAGCCCAGCGTTCCTGGACGAGCTTTTCACTAGGTGAGCACACACTCGTGACTCTGCCCACTGCTAGCTCTGAGGCTGAAACGTCACCACATCTTCCCGAGTCTCAGGATGCTCCTCTGAAATGTGGGCTGCTGCTTGGTCAACCTCATAGCACTGCTATGGGGACAAGCCATGGCAGGTCTCACCTGCTCCCTGGCTCTGCAGACAGGGTAGCTGGACGTGCGGCGGTTGTTGGTGGCAATTCTTTCACTCTGTCCCACGGAAAGAACTCTGACACACCCATCAGTGGCCTGTGGCATCGGAGGGTGGAAAAGCACATGGAAAGCAACCTGTTAAGCAGTGTGAGATGTCACCTAGCCGGTCCTGGTCCTTGGTGTAGCCACGCTGGGGATTTCTGGGGAGAGCAGGGGCCCAGGCCCACTCAGATGTATGGCATGCTTCTGGTTGGAGTTTCTTTACTCGACAATGTGCATGCACTTTTGGAGCCACTTAGCCTGACTCGAGGAATGAAGCAGACACAATCCCTGGGCCACAGTTCTGGGCAATGGGTCCAGCAGTCACGCTGTCCATCATTCGCAGGTCGTGTCCACCATCCATCAGGGCTGATGCCATCAGAGCGTTTTTTCCATCTGGAGGCACCCCTCCTTACAATGACCGGGGTGACACAGCGCAAGACCAAGTCATAAAGTGAGTGGTCTCCGGGTCCGGAAAGAGGGCCCCCAGAGTCAGCATAGTGGGTACTCTGTTTGTGGGGGGGAGGGTGCCTGGCAGAACCCTAATCTTACACATCATCTGATTCCCAAGAAAGGCCTGAGCTCTGGAGTCTTCTGTTCCAGGAGGACAGGAGTCAAAGACGACAGTGGGTGGGGTCCCGAGCCTTGTAGACCCAGAGGGGACGCTGGGTTGAGTTGTTCCTCAGAGTCCCCTCCCCCCCAGAGACCCACCCCGCGCTGCCTGCCCCTCTCCATATCATCTCCCCTGACCACCATGGCCAGGCTCAGAACAGGATTGTGGTGAGCAGGCTGCTCACAAGTCTGTCTCAGTCCTCAGCCCAGATGCCCAGGGCCTGGAGGGTGGGGCTGGGCAGTGCACTGGACCTTCAGGAGAGCCGCCAGTGGGAAGAAAAGTCTCACACAGACTCCGTGTTGAACCTGCTGGATATGGGTCCCACACCTGCTACAACCAGGACAGCCACACAGGGCCGGGGGTGGCATGGGGCTGTGCCCTGAGTGGGCAAGGGGGGCCTGCACAGGGCTCCGATCTAAGCAATTGTGCCATGGGAGGGCAGAGTGGAAGGAAAGACCAGGACTCAGACTCTGCTGCCCACCTGCCTCTCCCCAGGGCCTTTGCTGCGATGGTGGGGACCTGGCTGGACCAGGTCCAGGGTTTGGGACAGCCCCTTCCTATCGCCTGTTTCAAGGCAGAGCAGGCCTTGGTGCCCATCAACTCCCCTGCCTCACAACTGGTGGGCCACGCCCAAAATCGATGGTTGGAGCTGCAGCATCTGGAGCCCACCGAGGCAACTCCACAAGGTGAGGGGCACAGATCATCTGGGCAGATCATCTGGGGAGGGCAGGCTCACGGGCTGGAGCTCCCTTAAAGGCGGTGGGCCTCTTGCCTGTCTGCGCAAAGTCACAGAAAAGCCAGGTGTGTGAGTCAATCTGTCTCTCTCTCCTGCTCCAGGTCCACGCCCTGAGCTCCAGAGCTCTCCCGAGACAGAGAAAGGGCCCGCTCAGGGGCCAGAGCCTGGTCCAAGGACAGGCCCTGCCCTGGCCTGGCCTCGCCCGAGGCAGTACCTACTGGCTGTGCTGGAAGCCTTCTCTCTTGCTGTCAGAAGAGTTCTAGGCGATTATCTTAAATAATTCAGAGGAATACATCCCAACTGTACATTTTCAATAGTAAATAATGATAATTTGATAATTTCTAAAAGTACCTACCTATTTATGTAGACTATTTATTAAGTTAAATACTCTTTTTGAATAAAAAATTGCTACCATGTCTACTCTTGTACCTATACTACTCTCATACACACACACACACACACACACACACACGCATATATGCTGACATGGAAGGATGCTCACTGTATAATACAGTTTTAAAATAAGTTTTGAAACATTGAATCTTTTTCTGATTACTATGTATACACTGATAAAATGGGGAAATAAAATCTGGATAAATATACACCAAAATGTTAACACTACTGAACTGTCAGAAGTGAAACTACTAGAAGTGACAGTTTCTTCTCATTTTGCTTTATGTATAGGTTCTGGTTGACACAAGGATCATACCTCCAATAGACAGATAGACAGTAGAGAGAGGAAGGGAGAGGCAGAGAAACATAGAGGAGAGGCGCATCAGCCGCCTCCTGCCCACCCCCGACATGGAAATAACCGCAGAACCCTGCCATGTGCCCTCCCTGGGAACTGATCCGGAAACCTTTCAGTGCAAGGGGAGATGGCCCACCTAATGAGCCACAACAGCCGGGGCTAGACTCAATCTATATTTTAAAAATGCACTTTGACTTCAGGGAGTTAGAAAGGGCGAGACAGAAACGTAAACGATGAGACAGAAGCATTGATCGGTTGCCTCCTTCACGACCCCTATTGGTGATCCAGTCTGCAACCCGGGCCTGTGCCCTGACCGGCATCAAACCAGCTGTGCACTCCTGCCCGGTTCGACCACTGGGCGACACTGGCCAGACTCAATCAAATCTTTCGAAACTTTCCCAAGTGCCAATTTGTATCTTGCAATGGTGTCATGAAAGGAAAATTGACTTAATGGGGGGCATCCTACTTCCCTCCTTGTTTAGCTGGATTTGCTATTTGGCCAGAAACAACCACTACACTAGGTCTTAACCGTATTTAAAATCACTAGGAAGCGCAAGACCATTGCTTTGGTTGCAACAGGGTAACTCAACACAACTCCCTCCACTAAACACTTCCTTAATCATTTCCCTGCCTCCATGAGCCCAGAATTTAACTCACCAGTCAAACTCAGCTTAGGAAGAGGCAATGGTTCCACTGGAACAGGACGGTACGGAAACAAGGTACACAGCCCTGGTTCTACCGGAAGGCCATAGTTCACTGACACCACCACTGCAACAATCTATAATTAAATGAAAACCATCATGTCAGAAAATTCTAAGCAGAAAAGGACAAAGGAATGCCACTGGTGAGTATTGCAAAAGGAGGCACGCTGTGCAAGACGGATCCATTCAGTGCGGTGGCCCAACCATCCAAAGCTCATCGTTCTCATGAGAACACTCTTGCTCTGAGGGGAGACACATTTCCTTTCTTTCATTTCATATTTGCTTTCAAGGCAAACCAGCTGGTCAACACACCAAAACAACACTCCTCAGGTATCCAACAAGAGACACCTAAATGTCTCCCTGAATTTTAAGTCTTACTAAATTTGAATTAATAAAAGTTTCATTTTAAAGTGATATGTGGCTGCCGGGCTGGCATGGCTCAGTGCTGGAGCGTTGACCCCAGAACCAAGGGATCCCCGTTTCATTCCCAGTCAGGGCCTGTACCGTGGTTGCGTGCTAGGGGCTATTGATGTTTCTCTCTCCCCTTCCCCAGCCTCCTCTCCCCCCCCTCACTCTTTCCACCTCCCCCTCGCTATCTTTGTTCCCTTTCCCTTCCTCTCTCTGAGATCAATAAAAACATACATGTCTAACAAGTTATATGTGGATAATATAGACCCTATGAGACAGGGAACTTCAAGACACTAGGAAACCGTTATGAAACAGTCATCCCTGAATCTCGGGTCACCTTTCCTCCACAAGTCCACACAGAAGAAATGTACGGGGCCATTAGTGATCCCAGTAGAAACAGGAAGCTCACCATCCAACACGTCCCCACTGCCCTTCCCCCTCACCACCTCCTCCTGGGCTGAGGCACCTCCTTCAGGACCAGTTGGACATGAAACTGCCCCATGTCCCTTGCAATTCGGCCTGTTCTGCCCAAGGGTTCACCCAAGAGTCTCATAGTTGATTTCTGAGACACTCTTTTCCTCCCTGATATAAAGCACAAGAGCGAAGAGAGGATTTTTTTCTTCTCGTTGATGCTGGGAGCTTACCCTGACATCATTGAGCAGCTGAATTCAATGTTGGATCCACCTACCTGTGCACTTGTGATTTTGTGACAAAGACATATCCCTACTGTTAGCTTCATCACTATTCTGCTGCCTATAATTCTCAGCTTCCACACTGAATGAGATCCTTAACACTCCCCTGGGTGGACATTTCTAAAGGCCATAGGAGACCACTGTTAGTTTTCATAAGAGACAGGATCATATTTACATTTTCAAAGATCCTTCGGGCTGCCGGCAGAGAATGCTTAGGGACCTGGCGATACTAGAGGTTGACAGGTCACAGAGAACACCTGGTATCAGGGGCCCCTGAAGTCAATGTGTCTTAGTACTCTTGGTGCTAACCTTGATGGCTTCACACTAGAATCATTGTATCAGGAATGTCAAGGTTGAAATCTATCCCACTCATTGGACTTGACAGGTTATGTCTATAACAACCATGGCCAAACTTCTGCCTGCGGGCCAGATCCAGCCCCTTTGAAATGAATAAAACTAAAAAAAAAAAAAAAAAGACCGTACCCTTTTATGTAATGATGTTTACTTTGACTTCATATTAGTTCACACAAACACTCCATCTATGCTTTTGTTCCGGCCCTCCGGTCCAGTTTAAGAACCCATTGTGGCCCTCGAGTCAAAAAGTTTGCCCACCCCTTAGAATTTACAATAAAGTAGCACAATCTTCCGTATCTTTTCTCAGACCAAGACACTCTCAGAACAAAGTGGAGAACTTACCAAAACCAAGGTGTACTAAAGTGGTATGCAAAAGGGTGTGGACTCAGCTTCAAGACAGAACAACAGGTCAGTGGCACAGACAGACGCACACACACAGAGAAAGCGAGAGAGAGGCTGAGAGGAAGGAAGGGACCTCAAGAACGAGAGTACAAGACAAGTGACAGGACCTGACACCCCATCAGCTGGGCTGTCCTCTATGTTGTTTAGAACTGAGTTTATGACATAGAGTCCAAACATAACAGAAATACAAGCAAATGTCACTATACTGTTCACAAAAGCTATAATGACACAGATGCTTACCCTGATCAATCGTGCATACTTCTTCAGTAGTTCTGAAAAGCACTGTGTAATCCTTGCAGTAATGATCTAAGTAAAACTCCAATTCTAAGGCCCTAAAACTACAAGAACAGATAAAATACAAATAACTAGGAAGGTATTACAATCTCTACCCTCAACAGTTAGCATTCATCAACAGAACTTTCCAATTTAAAAACATACTTAGGAGAAAAAAGATAATCAAATCCAGAGCCTCTTTATTCTATTTCTGGACTTTCCAGTGCCCAGTATGATAAGTGCAACCTCAACTACTTTTGCTAGACAAATTTTGTGCACATGAAACTACTGTAAAAACACTGCGATCTCGGTTCTATTCCATTTCCTATTAGCTGTTTTTCTTCAACAAACCATCTCTAGAACCTCAATATTTTCTTCCAGAAAATGGGGAAATACCAGTTAATTCACTGTGAAGTTTTAAAACTAAATAAAATATGTAAAAAATATCAGAGTCCATGATTAGGGTTGGAAATCATTTCATTACAAAACAATTTTCATGATAGTAATGATTTGTCCTAAGAGAAATAAAAAAATTAAAAGTGCCATGTCTCAGAATACAACTCGTTATCTCAAGGAAGAGCACAAAAATTAGAACACATGCTGTAATATTAACTCAGATGTTGATATTTTTATTCCATTCAATTTTATTTATTATCAAGGGTCACAATACCCAAGTGGGTGACCTTTGGAATTCAGTGTTAAACAGCGTGCTGGCAAGGCTGTGAAAGTTCAGTGTTAGCGCCATTTCAATGTAGGTCCACTAGGAACCTGAAAGACACAGAAGGCGACAGCACAAGTGCAGCACAGAGCCCACAGCTAGCCAAGCGTCATGGTCTTGGAAACACACTCTGACAGGTTTTCTCATCACGAATGGGGATCATGATTCCCTGCCTTGTTGACAATTTATGTAGCTAAACTGCAATTCTCTGAACTGTAAGCACTACTAGAATGTAGGTATTGTTACAGCATAGCAGGTATTGTTATAGACCTTCCACCACAGTGCAGGCAGTCAGCTTGTCAACATGAAATGCTCTTCGGGTCACCCCCAGTGTTTAGCGTTTCCTGACTTCCTGCTGATCTTAGGACAAAGATGACTCACAAGCCCTTACATGGCCAGTATCTTCAAATAAGTCTGTGTTTTGCAAAAAAATGCTCTGGGTTCTTAAGAAGGCCAATTTCTGAGTCACCTGAGCACTCCTGGAAGTTTTCACTCTACACACAGTATTTACCTTGCCAACTGAACAAGGGGGGTCAACAAGTGAATGAATTCCTTCTCCCATCAGAGTATTCCATTTAGGCTCCTCAGAGACCCAGTGAAGAAGGAAAAAGATTGCAGGTGTGTGAGAGAAGTGTAGAAGAATCCAGACTGAGATTCTCTGACAAGTCTTCATCCTTCATCTGAGAAACTTTCCAAAGGATTCAGACACAAAGATCTGTTCAAAAGGTGAGACTCAACCTTCTGGTGGTGGTCTGAATTCAGTAAATACTCCCAATCCCGAGAAGAAGAAACAGATATTGATTTTTAAATCATGCCTCCTTGTAATTAGGGGGGTGGGAGTGATCAAGGAGGGGTCGATGGGGGGAAAAGGAGACATATGTAATACTTTAAACCAGTGTTAAACTCAACCTTCCTAATGCCGAGACCCTTTAATACAGTTCCTCATGTTGTGCTGACCCCCAATTTCATTGTTACAAATTGAACATAATTAAAGCATAGTGATTAATCACAAAAACAATATGTAATTATATGTGTTTTCCGATGGTATCAGGCGACCCCTGTGAAAGGGTCGTTTGACCCCCAAAAGGCTCACGACCCACAGGTTGAGAACTGCTTCTTTAAACAATAAAAAAAATTCAACTAAAGCAATTCAAGTTCCATTTTCACATTAAGTTGATCTAAGAATATGAAAAGAAAAAATCACAATGCTGGCCCAGCAGGTGTGGCTCAGTGATTGAGCATCAATCCATGAACCAAGAGGTCATGGTTCAATTCCTGACCAGGGCACATGCCCAGGTTTCTGGTTTTATTCCCAGGAGGGAGTGTGTAGGAGGCAGCCAACTGATGACTCTCTCATCAGTGATATTTCTATCTCTCTCCCTCTCCCTTCCTGTCCCTGAAATCAATTAAAACATTTTTAAAATTAAGTAATCACAATGCTGGAAAATGAAAGGAATACCAAAACACCTAAATGATTTTAGTGATATTCTAAATCCTCTGTTGTCATTTCCAGTCTCCAAAGCACCTTCTCCACGAGATTTGAGGCTCTTTCTTGTCATTTCCACAGTCTCCACAGCACCTTCTCCGGAAAGAGATGAGGGACTCTTCCTTTAATGAATAATATAAAAATGCTTAGACAAAACCACCATTATTCATTTTGTTTTGAACTACAACAAAAAAGAGGTATACATTTGGAATCAAAAAGTTCAATAAAATTCCAAAAAGAAACTTATTGTAGGCTTTTTCAGACTTACCCTGTGATATGATAAATGCCTAAAATTAAAACAAAATGCTTATCTAAGAATTGCATCTAAATAATAGCCTATTAGCAAATAGTATCTAAATAAGAATTATGGTGAGCTAGAAGGGACAATAAAAAAGGGGGGACATCTATAATACTTTCAAAAAGAAAGATTTTTAAAATAAATAACTAAATAATTATGATATATAGATATATACTATCTCCTCACCAGCTCAGCACATGCACCATGGGAACAAAAAAAGTAAGGTAAAATAAAATTAAACAAATTAATGATAAATATTATAAGAAAAGATAAAGTATGTGTGTAAATACATTTTAAGAAAAGAGTAGACAAAAATTTAAAAATCTACTAGATAGAAGCCTTGCCACAAAAGTGACCTCAAACCGTGGCTCAACCTGTATTGACCCTATGTCCTTTATAAAACTAAAGATTACCAGAAGAGCTATTCATAACCTACAGGTTTCTTAATAATCTTATCAATCTTAGACAGTCAGAAAAAAATCTTTAGAAAAACTAAACTTTCCCTTTCATCTTGCAAAATATAAACTAGGAAATGCCATTCAACTTTCACTAGCATGCCTAACAATCACTTACTTGAAATTATTTAATGGTATTTTATGGGTTTTTCAATTGTGGTTAAATATACATAATGTAAAATTTACCATTTTAACCATTTTGTGGTGTACAAATTCAGTACCATTAAATACATTCATTCATAAAGTTGTATAACCTCATTGCTATCCATTTCCAGAACTTTTCCATTATCCCAAACAGAAACTGCCAATTCAACAACTCCCCCTTTCTCCCTCCCTCAGCTTCTATTATATTTTCTGTCCTTATGAATTTACCTATTCGAAGCAAAGTACCCCATGAAGGTGGAATTATACAGTATTTATGTTATGTTGGGTATAACATCCTCAAGGTTCATCCATGTTGTAGCACATCTCAGAACTTCCTTCATTTTAAAGGCTAAATATTTCATTGTAGGCATATACCACATGTTGTATATCCAGTCATCTCTGCATACACACTGGGGTTGTTTCCAATTTCAACTATTGTGAATAATGCTGCTATGAACACTGGTGTTCGACTGAGTCCCTGCTTTCAAATCTTTTTTTTTATTTCAACAGTTTTTTTTATTAAGGTATTACATATGTGTCCTAATCCCCCCATTGCCCCCCACTCCACTCCCGTTCATGACCTCACTCCCCTGGTGTCTGTGTCCATTGGTTATGCTTATATGCATGTATACAAGTCCTTTGGTTGACCTCTACCCCTTACCCCCACCCTCCCCTACCTTCCCTCTGAGGTTTGAGCATCTGATTGATACTTCTGTCTTTTGTGTATATATACTCAAAAGGGGAATTGTTGGATCATATGGTGATTCTAGGTTTAACTTTTCCCCCTTATTTATCTTGAAATTTATTGTTGAAAATATTATAGATGTCCCTTTCTATCCCCCATTGATCCCCTCCACCCTGCCTAGGTTTAACTTTTTGAGAAACAGCAAATGGTTTCCCACAGTGGCATTTTTACTTTTCCACCAGTAATCACAGGGTTCCAGTTTAAACATCCTCACTTATTTTTTTCATTGTTTAATCTATCAGTCATCTCAGTAGGTATGACATGGTATCTCACTGTGGTTTTGATTTGCATTTGCCTAATGATTAAACATGCTGAGCACTGTTTCATGTGCTCATTGGCCATGTACACATCTTTAGAGAAATGTCCATTCAAGCCCTCTGTCCAGTTTTAAATTGAATTGTCTGATCTGTGGTTGTCGAATTTAGGAAAAACCAGCATTAGAGCTGCACTCCCACCTGAAATGTCCAGAATCTTTGCTGTACCTATTATTGACTCAGCTTCCTTTTATGAAATCCCATCCTCCCAGTCTCTAAAAGCAGATAGTATTTTATTTTATTTTTATTTTTTAAATCTATATTGTTGAAAGTATTACATAGGTCCTCCTTTCCCCCCATTAATCTCTTCTAGGCCACTCCCATCCCCACCCCAATAGCATTTCCATACTCCCCCTTACTCCTGATGTCTCAGGACTTGCACATTCCCTCAGCTCTGTCTCTCATCTCTGTCTTCTCTCTTTAGAGCCAATCTTTTCCCCCTGAACTATCATAGAACAGTATCCTTGACAATAGTCTCTCTACTCTCCAGCCAATCCTACACATCCTACACATTGCCACCAAAGTCATATCTTCTCAAAATACAGAACTGAAGATGTACTTTCCATTTTAACATCCTTGACAGGCTCCTTCTGTGTACAGTTTAAATTTCAAGTTCCCAGGTACAAACAAGGCCCTTCAGTTTGGATCCACTCAGTACCTGCAAGCATCTCTCCACACCCAAACCCTGGGTACATCCGTTCTGAACTTAGAAAACATCATTTTTCCCATAAATCGTTTGGCTGATTCGCTCTGCCTCGAATGCCCTTCTTTTCCCAACTTCCAGTTCAATCAGCAACTTCTTTGAGAAATCCTTCCTTCAGAGCCTGACTCTCACCACACTGTGGACACACAGGTATTATATGGCATTTTAGTTTATCTGCATACAGCATTTTAGTTACCTATTTATTTGTTCAACTAAATCTGAGTCACATACACCTGGTATTGATTCCTAACCAAATATAAAATGTCTTCCCCCGTATAGTAAGAAGACTAAATAACAGTATGTTTTCCAGACCAAAAGGACTGAAATTAAAAATCTTATCGTTCTATTTACAAGCAATCTTAAGACGGAGACAAAAACAATTCATCTAACTGCACATCCATGGAAACTAGTAAACATGCAATCATCCTTTGGAGAATTTAAGATGGAAACATAGAAGCAAAGAATTAGTTTGAGCCCGGCCAGCATGGCTCTGTGGTTAAGCATCGACCAATGAACCAGGAGATCACGGTTTGATTCCAGGTCAGGGCATAGGTTTGACTTGCAGCCTCAATCCCCAGTGTGGGTTGTGCAGGAGGCAGCCAATCAATGATTCTCTCTCATCATTGATGTTTCTATCTCTCTCTCCCTCTCCCTTCCTCTCTGAAAAATAAAAATACATATTAAAAAAAACAAACAAACACTTGTTGGATATCGTCATGCCACTTTCACAACTACACTAACCATATGGTTACATGGGGTGAGGGGCGGGGGGGGGGATATCAAAATGGTCACTTGTGCCCTAGCCAATCAATGATTCTCTCTCATCATTGATGTTTCTATCTTTCTATCCCTCTCCCTTCCTCTCTGAAATCAATAAAAATATATTTTTTTAAAAAATGGTCATTGGCTTCAACACTCCTGGACAGGAATGCTTTTACACATGCCCTCAAGTTTAGGAATAATTCAGTTTATCATTCCCAGTATATTGTTAGAAGGGTACAATGTTCATCAGGAAACAGTTCGTGGGGGAAAACACAAAAAAGCAATGTCCAGGTACCAAGATTGCAGTGCTTACCACTAAGGAATTTAACATTACTCAAAAAGTCTTGAAATCTCTTGTCAATAGCCCAACAATTAATCCAACTGCTATAAATATATTCTCCCCCGCCCCAAAACTTTTTATTCTAAAAATATTCAGTAAGAAAAGTTGAAATAATACAGTGAACACCTGTTTCATCTAAATCTAACAGTTGTTAAGGCCTAGCCGGTTTAGCTCAGTGGATAGAGCATCGGCCTGCCGCCTGGTCCTGGGTTTGATTCCAGTCAAGGGCACATACCCAGGTTGCGGGCTCAATCCCCAGTAGTGGGCATGCAGGAGGCAGCCAATCAATGATTCTCTTCTCACCATTGATGTTACTGATGTTCCTCTCTCTCTCCCCCTCTCCCTTCCTCACTAAAATCAATAAAAAATGTTTTAAGAATAAACAAATAAATCTAACAATGGTTACCATTATGCCATATCTGCCTATGTGCATGTGAGGGATTTGAGTGTGGGGTGCTGACTACCTGAAAACCCCCCACATCATGACTTCATCATGCATTTCCCCAAAATAAATATTTTCTCCAATACGCCACAAAACCATCATCTTGCCTAAGAAAATGTTTCTAACATCACCTAATATTCAGTCCATTTGCAACTTTTTCAAATTTTCCCCAACATGTTTTTTAAGACAATTTTCTAGAACCAGGGCTCAATCAATGTTCATTCAACCTGGTGCAAAAAATATTGCATTTGGTGATGTCCTTTTAACCTAGAATAGGCCCCACCTTTTT